AAGAATAATTGAGGTAGGCAACTGAACCAGCTGCAGACTTCAACCGTTGTCATTCATATCGGTACTGCCGTAGAGAAAAACATCAGTCATTTGGATACTAAACAAATCCACGCCATTCTCTCTCGAGACTCCAAGCTTCCCGAAAAAGACTCATGACAACGATTTATATTTGAAATGAGAATGCTGAACCTAAGGACTTTTTTCTCGAAAAAGCCGATTTAAGTCTTTGAATGGAAACCCTTGAGGGAGAATGTCTGACACAAACAGTGACCAATACTTCTATTTTTTTAAGGAAAAAAACTAAAGAACCTCATGTTTTACCAGAACTTACCGGCGGCGTAATACTCTCTACATGAGCATGCTAATTGAATACCTCATCTGAAACACAACGAGTTCACTGTAGCACTATTGTAGGAAGGCGAAGGCAACAACAACCAGATTTAGTCAAAAATGTTTCATTAAAATTTTTTTAACATTTTGATTATGATATATTATTGACATATCATTCTAGAGGCAGGTCCATTTTATGCTGTGGATAAGGTTATTCCATACGCTCTTTATGTAGATTGGTGATTCCGAATTTTTCTCATGTACCTAATATTACAAAAATGTGCAATACGGATATTGTTTCCTAATTAGGGTATCGTATAACAGTAATGGAGCACTTTTGGGGCAAATCTGAAGTTTTAGTCTATTCCATTTTACAGCATGTTCGACAGTTTTAAATGGAAAATTTCAGCAGTAAATGAAATGTCAAAAAACTGACTGGGAAAGCTCATTTTTTGCGCCTCAAATTCGGTTGCCAGAAACAATGCCAGAAGGGCCACCGTCTTGCTGATTTATTCGCTAGTAGCTCTGGTCCACATAAGGTCAGCGATTGCCTATGGTGAAAGCTTAGCAGGCTCTGGCAAGGCTCTGCTAATATTTGGTGAGAAGTTCTTTATTGCCAGGTCTCCATATCTCGGGCGTTCAACGAACATGGAGAACCATCTGAAAAGAACTAAACAGGAAGCAGAGAGCAGCTTGAGCCGCCTTCGGACCTCTAAAGGAAGCGATAAACCAGCTGACGGATCCAGAGCTCGGAGCCTACTTGTTCGAACCAACTGCGCTCTGCTACGCAGAGAGGTTGGTGGCCTGACACTGTGGCTATGTCAAAGGTTCTTTGAACAACCCACATAGCGCTGGAGCGATGTCTTTTGAAGTACAACCGACGCATTCAACATCTCACCGGACTTAGCAGTTCAGATATGAGATCAATGTCTCGTCTTCGCCATCCAGCGGAATACGTCTCTAAGCCAAAGCATCGATGGGCTGGTCATAATGAGAAGGACAGACGACAGATGGACACCAAGAATTCAGGAATGGATTCCTCGCGAAGCAAAACGTTCTCGAGGAAGGCCACTAACCAGTTGGGCTGACGTGTTCGTTGCACGGGTGAACTAGTTGAATTCTCAGCTA